GTGTGTGTGTGTGTGTGTGTGTGTGTGTGTGTGTGTGTACACTGCACAAAGGATTATGACCCCACAAGAACAAAGTTCATGGATCAATAATATGGTTGTTACCATAGTGTATGCAAACACAGGACATAAATATATATTATGCAAAGCAAACGAATGTCCCACCCCAAAGCGTTTCAGATTCTGTTGGTGCCACGTCTTTTTCAAAAACTTTTGCAAGTGTTTGCAATGGGTCTTTAAAAATAGATTGCATTTATTCTTTTGTGTTCCTCTTCCTGCAAAGCCATGTGCCTCAAGCACTAGGAATCCCACTTCACAGGTCTCCAAGGGAGTACCTAAAATAGTGCTATAATATCATAAAACATCCTGATTTTCAAGTATGTCAGGCTCTGTTGAAGCCAGAATGGAGTGCTGAGGCTCCCTGAGGGAACTTGGGCATCTCTGCTTTTCAGCATTTTTATCCCTGCAGAGTGGGGCTCTGCAGTCACAGGAGCTCTAAGCTCCAAGGCCACTCTCCCAGAGAGCAGGAGTGAGCTGATTCTTTGGCATCGTGGCCTGGCAGGAGTTTTTTTCATCTCATTTTTCAGCATTAAGCTATCACACTGTGGAGCAGTCTGACAGCCACCTTCTAAGTCCTTGCACTAATGGGATGGCAGGTCGCCTGTGCAGATTTGCTAAATCTAGTAGAGGAAGGAGCTCCAATACCAGGGTCCTCCAGAGCTGAGCCTGAGTTTGCTGCCTGGGTGAGGAGCCATGGTAGGTACCTGTGGGCAGTACCAGGTCAGCGATGCACAGCACTCATTAGCCAGCGAGTTGCATGACCATGTGCCGCTCCGCAGGTTTGCATGTTAGCGGCTAGATAATGGATGAGAAATGCCGGACGTCTGTATATTCAGTTTTGGAGGGGAAAAAAAAAAGACTTCAGGTTCCCATTGTGGTCTGACTTAAGATGACAGAGGAAGCATCCAGGAAACTTAAAGCTGATTCTTTTGGGGATATCAAATAATAATCAAAAAATCATTGCAAACCATCCTGCACGCCTGAATGTGGATGTGGTGACTCACCAAATGCAGCTTCTGTTCCAGTGACCTTCCACTCTGCAGTCTATCTTCTGCCAGAGCGTGCTGCAGTGGGAGCTAGGGCAGCTTGACTTGGAAAGACCTATACAGATATCTAGATAGATTTATAAATACAAATATATTAAAAGGCTGTCCTGTGTACTGGATAAACTTTCAGTATTTCTTTTTGGAGGCATTGTGTACATAGCCTTACCACTGCTGACATTTAAAATAACTCTGATAAGTCATCTTTTAAGAATTGTGGTGACTTCTGAACAGACAGCCCTAGGATACCCCTGCTTGCTTTTCATTTCAGAGCTCTGGTTCTTCAGATAAGAGACTGGCAATTTCCAGTTTTCCAGATCCTTGAGTTTTCCCTAGTGAATACTTGCTGCGCTCTCTCCGCTACTCAGGAGTATAGTTCAAAATTGTGAATGAATGTGGGCAAATAAGGTATTTTAAACACAAAATGGAATTAAATTATATGTATTTTTGTTTCATAAACATATTAACACATAACTGTTTTGATAGGGTTTGCCATTAAACAAATGCTTGACTTATTCCTAATGTTTTAAATGCTGTTGGAAAGGATTTCTGTGTGTACCAGACTGCATTTGTGGTCTGGCAGGTGCTTTGAGCTTGACTAATATTCACAAATGCTACTTTTTACACTCAGATTCTCCAATAAGTGAACATTACGTTGAACTATATAATTATTGGTGAAACATTAAATAATTAAGAACCCTCTTTTCCTCCTTTTTAATGATTTAACACAGACCGTATAAAATTTTTCCTTGTTGAATTCATTATGTTTCAAGGGCAGTTACCAAGTAAAGTATATTGGTTCTGAGCTTGACTAAATTGAAGCAATTGTTACTTTGTTGTAATTGGTGCTAATGAAGCCTGTGTGCTTTTTCTCATTACTTTCAGTGTAACCTGTATTGATAAGTCATATTTGTACATGGTGTCAGGACAGTTGAACTGATGAATGAATAAAATTGCAAGGTTTAACAGAATGAAAACTTCTGGCAGGTGCAAACGGCATGCATCTGTGTATGCTAAGCATGAGATTTTCTAGTGTGTTTCTACAGGATTTTCATTAAAATTGTATCATGGAGACTCCAACCAAGTTTATTGTCTCTCCAGAGCTCCGTATCTGATTTTCCCAGTTGGTATTAGAGTGATGCCTTTAATGACTGCCAGACCTGCAGTCTCAAACAGGGATCTGCAAGACAGGATTTTGCGTTTGAGTTAAAACTCACCTCTGTGCAGAAGGTCAGCATGAGGCCTGTGTGCCGGATGAGTTTGACGTCAGCCTCGGCACAACAGTGCATTTCACCCTTGTTGCTTGGTAAATAATTCTGGTTATAATGCACAAGTCAGGACAGCCTCCAGCTCGCTCTCCCATGAATGAGCGCAAACAGGAATAGCACATTTTGTTCACAAAAACAAGCAGATATGTTGAGAGAAAAGAAGAGGTCATCCTCTGTACTCACTCTCCTGACCCTAATCTCAGTTTAAGCAGCATTCCAGAAAAATATTGTAGATGTGATTGAATGAAGCAAGTGACAATATACAGGCGACAGCAGATTTGGCTCAGCTGAACCTCCCCGCAGACTGCTGATCTGCAGGTGTCGGTAGCAGTGCCAGCTTAGATGGGAGCAAAACACAGGCTGCAGCACAGTGCAAAAGATGACTCCTCTGCCGCAAGTCGTTCAGTGATGAAGAGATCTTGCACCATGCCAGGCCAGGTTGGACCTTTCTGTGAGGCCACTTGCCCCTGTTTAGTTCAAGATGACAACGGAGGGGATCAGCCTCGGTGGGTGGAGAGAGAGATGGCTTTGGAGCTGGATCTCTTTTCATTTTGATTATTTTAAAGAGCTCTTCCATGGCTCTTATCCCAGAACCAGGTGGGAGAACAACTGGGAGCCCTTGCTCTCAACTGCCAGGGGTTAGGTTCAATCCAGCTGGTCCACATTTTTCATTTTAAATAACTATTTCATTACAAGGGGGTTTTTTTTGTTGTTGCCAAAATGCAGATTTCTGGGGGAAGTGTCCATATTCAGCATAATATATGGGGAATTCATCAAAGCAAACTAACATACTGAAAAATGTTAGTTTGGGATCATCATTTTTCCTTTTCCTAGTTAAAAATATCTGGCATTTACTTTTTTCAGCAAAGCCAAACTCTCTTTCAGTACGTTAGGTCCACGTTATTTTTTCCCATATACGTTTCATGAGAGGGCAAAAAAATCAATTCACAAAAATGTGTTCCTTACTGACTGCAACGG